AGTGAGGAATATGGCTGAGCTGTCAGTCAGTTCTGTCTGTCAGCTTTGGCCTTTGGGGTGGTATTGTGTGTATGTAGACGGCCTCTGCCTGTTCACCCTTGGGGCCAAAACTCTTTGGTTATGGCCCTAGCTCTGTTACATAATAAACCTGCCACTGAGCCTCCCTTTCTCTCTGAAATCCAAAAGCACTCTGAGTTCTGGAGCTCATATCATTCCAAGGATTCCCCATAAGAGGCTATGGGCTGGTAACACAAGTATCCCCAGGGCCTGAGGGCTGTTGAGTGAGTTGTCACAGACGCAGAGTGACTTGGCAGATCAGGAGCTCAATAACTGGCAATTTATCATCATCATCATCATCAACCTTGGACTTGGTTGTAATGGGTAAATGAAGAAATCACATGCCTAGAATTCGGAAAGACCTTTGAGAAAGTCTCTCAAGACATCCTAGAACAGGAGCAGAATGGTGGGCCAGATGTCAGGAGTGTGGTGCACAGGTGGGAGCAAGAGTAGGGGAGTCGTTGGAAGACTCTTGGGACTGAGTTTTGGTCAGTGACCTGGCTAGGAGCCCAGGGGCCTGCAGATCAGTTGGAAGGGAAGATGTCAGGACAAAGAGGTGATCATCACAGAGAATAGAGGCCTAAAGAGCTGTCCACACCAAACTGAGAAACAGGCAGGGAGAATGGTGGCACCAGGTGGCAGCCTGGTGCAAAGACTCTGGGACCGTAAGTGTGGTGGTGCAGCTGTTAGCAAGCACAGCAGACACGGCCTTTTAATAGGCAGGGCACCAAGTCTGAGAGGGAGCAGTCTCCGTTCCCACAGACCAGGCAGGCTGCAAGTTGAGCTTTAGACATCAGCTCCTGTTGCAGTAAGTGAATGCATCCACCATAGCAGCCTCTCCCTGACCTGTGTGCTTTGTACCCCAGGAATCTCTGTGAGGTTGCTTTAGAAAATAGTGGTTGGTAAAAAGAGTTCAGAACTACCAAGTGGGATGACATACTGTGGCTCCAGGATCACTTTGTGAGAATGTACATTCATTTACTTTGTTGTCTTGTGCTGCTGTCAAAGAAATACCAAAAGGGTGAATGGCTTTAACAAAGGAGATCTGAATTCAAGGTGCTAGCTATAGGGGTATAGGAGAAGGTTTCCTCTCTGTGGGCTCTGAGAGAAGGTCCTTGTCTCTTTAATTTCTGGTTCTTAGCTCTGGGGAATTTCCACATGGCTTAGCATCTATCTTCCCCCATCTCTCCTTGCTTAATCTGCTCCTTTTACATTTTGTAAGAGATTGACTTAAGATCCACCCTACACTAATCCTGCATAACATTAACAAGGACAGTTCAAATGAGATTATAACTGCAGGCATTAAAGCTAGAATTTACAACACATTCATTTAGGGGACACAGTTGGGTGGACAACACTAACCATGATGCTAGCCCATCCCTAACCCCAAATAGTGTTTGGGCTCCTCAGAGCACCTTGACTTCCACAAGATGATCACATAAAAGTGTGTAAGATAAAAGAGGAAGCTGTACTGGACCACATCAGTAATAATAACAACGACAGTGTCTGCTATGTGTAGCTTGATTTTACTGGTGATATCTTAACTTATTTAATCCTCCCACACCCCTGTAAATAGGTTGAGCTTTTTTGTAGTTTGTTTTTGTTTTCCTCCAGATAAGGAGAATCCAGAGAGGCACAATAATTTCTTTATAACTTTCTTGGAAGGAGATTTGAACCCAAGCTTGAGCTGCCCTAAGAGGATGGCTTACCTTCCTGACAAAGGTGGGATAAACTCACAACTGCAGGGTGTGGTTAAGGGGAGCCCAGTGTTTGTAAGAGTGGAAGGGAATGGTTGTAGAAACCATGCCTAACCCTCACAGATGAACTGGACTCCACATATGTTACTGCACACTGGATGTTTTTAACAATCCTATACATTTATGTGTCAATTAGATGTGAGAATAACATCTGGTTTTCATTGAGTGTTTATTGTATACTGCACAGTGTGCTGAGAGCTTTATCTACATTGTTCTTCCTCATGCTTCCTGAACCCCCAACCCCTTGCACAGAGGGGTGAGGGCCTTGCCTGTCATCTCCTGGCTAGGGGCCCATGGAGCTGGGATGTGGGCTCTGCATGTTTACTTCCAGCTCTCAGCCCTCAGCCACTGAGCTGTCAGCAGACTTCACAGCAGCCCTGGAAAGTGGGCAGTAAGAACCCTGTTGTACAGAAAAAAGGGACAGCTTGTTTACTGCACCTTAGAGGCTGATTTAGGTCTAGAGCAAAATTTTGACTCTTCCTTTCTGAATTTGGGGTTGTAACTGCTTAATTAATTAATTAATTAATCAAATAATAAGACTTGCTTGTGAAGGGACAAAAAAGAAAAAAAAAAGTCTTTTCTCCAGATTCAGAACAAGGTGAGGAGTAGCCCTTGAGCCTCTCCACCCTCCTAGGTTCTCTCACAAACTGTTAGGCCGGGCTGGCAAAGGATTAGAATTCAAAGGCTTCCATTAAATTTGCTGTACAACCTCAGAAAGCCTTTTCCTCTCTCTGGGCCTTAGCCACCCTCTTAAAATACAGCTCCTTGCATCTGTGCCCCCTCCTAGCTATAGGTTTCTGAGATAATGCATATTTGTTCCACCTGCCGTATGCAAGACCCAGGTCTGTGTCCTCTGGGGCACACAAGGCCTTTCAGGGTAGAAGTGTGATATGGCAGTGGAGTCAATGGAGGGTTCCTCGTTCCTCTGAAGGATTATTTGCCTCATAACCTGAGGTCTCCAGCTTCTTGTTAATCTACATTCTGCTCACCTCAGTATTCATGGCTATCTTTATTTTTTTCCTTTTTTTCTTTTTGTTCCTGGCTGTCTTGATCACCTTGTCTAGTACATAGTAGATTCTCAGTAAATAATAAATAAGTGAAAGGTGAATGAATGAATATTAATGAATACTACATTGTCAAGGTCATTGTCAGGTAGGATGGGAAGAGGTATTGGCCAGAGTAGGCTTCAAAGAAGAGATTGCCTGTCAGAGGAGAGAAGTGTTGCTCCAAGGAGAGAAGTGAGGAGTGGCACAGATTTCACCCAGCCTCCTAGACGGCAGCAACCTTTTCCTTTTTTAACTCAGAAATGGGATAAAACTGTCACGATTGCTACATAATCAGCTGCATAAATTGTGAAGCATGCTTCATGGTTCTCTGTACCACGACAGTGTAACAATTGTAAAATTGTCATCAGTGTAGAAAATGAAAACAAAGGAAAAGTACAAGTCCATTGGGGGAACTTGCTTGACAACGACACCTGCGAGAGAAGCAGCCATCCAAGTTAACCAGGTGCACCCATCCCTGGCAAGAGGCCACGGTGGGGAGAGCTCAGAGCTTATGCTGAGGCCCAGGTTCCTGCCACTTCTGCCGTGTCTCCACAGAAGCTACTGCTCCTGCTGGTCACTCACCATTTGTGGTTTTCCTGGGAAACTGTTCACTACAGATTAGTAAGTAAGCACAATCAAACCAGTGCTTACTTGGCTTATCCGGTTATCTGACTCTGCTTCTGTGCTAAGCATTGCCGTATTTAAGGGCTCTCTCTCTGGAGGTCTGTTCTATAGCCCCTAGCACCTAAGAAACACTTGCTGGGCTGCAGCTGATGAGAATACCTGTTTGGGTGATACCTGACAGCTGTGACTTGGAGGATGCACAGATTCTTGACAAGCAGCCACAGGCAAAATAAGCAATATCCCATTCCCTTGTGTCTGCTGTATCACCTGGGAGTGAGGCTGGGTGGCGATTCCCAGAACGCTTCTCACTCAACTCCTAATGCAAGGAGCTCACCTCCCTCATTTTCCTCGTCATCACGCCATCTGGATGTTCCAAGTGCTAGCACTGCCCTGGCTGTGGCACTTGGAGAGCCCAGTACTCCATCACCTGTAAAGGGAATATTGTTTCAACCTGCATGTGTTGAGCCAGTTTCTTGCATTTAGACCAGAAGCTCTCTAGGTGAGAGGGAGTGGGTGAAGCTCCCTCCGTAGAGTCCTGGGCAATTGGGTACCTGGATAGATGGCCTACTTGCTATGCCCAGTTGAAGCTGCCTGTGGCTTTTCATACCTCCCTGAGTATCTGAGAGTGGCTATCCTGGCCACCCCCTGCTAGGGAGTCAGAAGCACTTTCAGAGCAGGGCTTGGCTTCCCTCAGACTTGGCTTCAAATCAGGAAGCATACAGTGAGATTACCTAGCAAACTCTTCATGCCTCTGGAACCCTTTCCAAGCCAGGCACTAGGGTCCCTAGTGCTATGGTGGTGTTGCCACTGCTGACTTTCACTTGCTCAAGGAAAGGTGCCCAGGATGGGATTCCAGGTGTTGGCCGGCGGGGCCTCCACGAGGAATTCGCGCCTGCTCTCAGAGCCTTGGTTTCCCCATTTGTTCAGCACCGTTTGCGAGAGCACCCACTTCGCAGATGAGGGAAGTCGCATTGTCAATAGCGGACGGGGTTGGGGGCGTGGATTCTTGTCACTGGGGGGTGTGTATGTATGTATGTGTCCTCATTCAGGGAAGACAGTGCAAGGCCGCCCGAAGGTGAGGGGGCGGCGGGTGGCTGAGGTTGGCGGAGGGAGGTGACCCCTCTTGCCCCTTCGTGCCCTGTCCCCCTCCCACCCCCAAGCCCAGGGGGGGCTCAGGCCGCCTCGGCCGCAGTCGGTGCGGCTCGGCTCAGCTCGGCGTCACCATGGCAACAGCGGCTTAAGGGGCG